CCTTCCCCAGCACCTTCTTCTGTTTGGTTTGTCATCTTAGTTGTGATCTCCTTTCTATCTACTTCCAGCGGTTCTCTCCTCCTTCTTCCCAGCTGCATGCACTCTCCCGCTACAGGCCAGCTTCTTTGATAGCCAGTCTGAATGGGTTTTCTTAATTACCCTCATGTGTGCTAATTGGCCTAGGCTGGCCTGACTCCGAAGGCCTGGTCAGTTTGCCCCAGGTGTTCCACTGCCCCATTGCCTCTGCTGGTTCGAAACCATCCCCTCCCTGTTCCTCTGGGAGCAGGGATCTCCTCAAGTCTGAGGCTTATAGATCGCCCCTCCACTACTTTTTTTCATAGCCTTCTGTTCTGACCCTGTCACATATCTCCCCCCTCCCAACTTGGGTTGTCATGCAATTAGGGTTGCCAGGTGTCCAGTTTTGAACCGGACAGTGCAGTATTTGAGCTTTCTGTTCCGGAAACAAATTGAGAAAACATAAATGAGAAAATATAAAGATCTGGTATTTTCTAAATAAGATGTAATGTAGATTGTGATGTAATGTCAAGTGTGTCTGGTATTTTTGTTGAAACCATCTGGCAACCCTACTATACACATGACCGGGGCTCGACAAATAATGTAATCTACTTGCCCGTTTACAACCCGGAAGAGCCGGTGCAGAGCAATCTGCACATGCGCAGGATGATCCGCGCAGGTGCAGAGCAATCTGCACATGCGCAGGATGATCCGCGCGGAGCAATCTGCACATGCGCAGAATGATCCGCGCATGCGCAGAACCGCGCGAAACTGCGCAGCTGGCGAGTGGGGCTTGCCGCCGCTTGGCGAGCACTGCTCATGACAGACAATCTGCACTGCATGGTGGCTTCCAGCCCGCTGTTGTATAGAGAATTGGAAGGGTTGTGGGAACAAAAACCATCTGGTTCTTCTTCGAGGAGCGTCCCGTGGGTGCTCCACCATTAGGTTCGCCAGCGCCACTGCACCTCTAATCGGAGGGCCAGCTACTGCGCGTGTGCAGCTGGAAGCTTCCTCATTTTCTTCTCAGCCGCCACCGGCTCTGGTTGCAGCTCAGCAGTCACCCTTTACCTCATTGACAAGTTATATGTTTAGCTAGTTTTTTAGATGGTTATAACCTCAGAAATCTTTTTCTTCGATTATAGTGATAGTTTAAAAAAATTCCATTCTCTATAGACGAGTCCTACCATAGTTAGTAAGAATAGTTTGGGGCGGGTTTTTTTCTTTTTTAGGTAAGCAGTTAAATGGACGTAGAAGCTCTGTGCAAACTTTACTGGTGTCTGGGACATGCCTGGTTCAGCTGTTTTCAAAAAGTGTACGGGCTGCAGGCTGTCCACGTCAATCTCAGACGGACATGAACAGCGCGTCCGCTGTCTGGGGTAAGAGCACCTCACAGAACACTGTCCTCATTGTCAGAAACTGACAGCGCCTACCAGGAAATCGAGAGAATTGCAACTAAAAATGCTCCAGATGGAGAAAAAGGATTGGTCGGCTTCTGACCCAGAGTCATCTACCCCTCCCAGACAGAAATCACCTGGGATGGAGTTGGAGAGATTGGCTCCCGTTGGGTTGAGTCCAAAGAACAATACTCACCCAAAGAAAAGGTCCTCTATTTTTCCTCAGGAACTGACTCTCCCCTGAGGACGGGTCCTCTCCACAAAAATACCGCACACCCACCCTCAGCACAAAAGGGGTCGGACTAACAGCCTACAAACGGGGCTGGCAATGGAAGGAGTCGCGACCCCAAGCACAGAGAACACAACTCACCTAAGGTGCTGACAGAAACAAAATCCAAAGCCTCCCCATCGGCACCAGCTCAAATGTCCTTGGCACCGGCCGCAGTGCATAACAAGCAGTGCCCGCCAGCGGCACCGAGTGCGAGCGCTCTGCCTGAGGCGGCAGCAGCAGCACCACCAAAGCACTTGCAGAAAAAGCAACCGGCACCTGAAATAACACTGCTGCACACACCACATGCCTCACAGCCTCTATTACTACCCTCTCCCCTACAGATACCACACTTTACATCAGATTTCTTGTGGCCCAATCCTCCAATTTGTCTAAGTCACTCTGGACAATATCTGTGCCTTCAAGCGTATCTACCTCTCCCCCTAGCTTAGTGTCATCTGCAAACTTGCTGAGGGTGCAATCCATCCCCTCATCCAGGTTATTAATAAAGATATTGAACAAAACTGGTCCTAGAACCGAACCTTGGGGCACTCCGCTAGAAACCAACTGCCATCCTGACATCGAGATCCAGTCCACATTCCCTTAACTTGCTGGCAGGAATATTGTGGGAGACTGTATCAAAAGCCTTGCTAAAGTCCAGGTATATCACATCCACTGACTTTTCCATGTCCACAGAGCCAGTTACCTCATCATAGAAGCTAATCAGATTGGTCAGGCACGACTTGCCCTTTGTGAATCCATGCTGACTATTCCTAATCACTTTCTTCTCTTCCAAGTGCCTCAAAATGTATTCCTTAAGGATCCCTTCCATGGTTTTTCCACGAACCGATAGCCTATAGTTCTCTGGATTGTCCTTCTTCCCTTTTTTGAAGCTGGGCACTACATTTGCCTTTTTCTAATCATCCAGGATCTCTCCCGATTTCCACGACTTTTCAAAGATAATGGCCAAAGGCGCCTCAGTGACATTTGCCAACTCCCTCAGTACCCTCGGATGCATTAATTCCGGACTCATGGATTTGTGTATGTTTAGCTTTTCTAAATAGTTCCTAACCTGTTCTTTACCCACCACAGGCTGTCCATCTTCATCCCATCATGCGTCACTTAGCACATTAGTCCGGGAGCCAACCTTGTCCGTGAATACAGAGGCAAAGAAAGCATTGAGTACTTCAGCTTTCCCCACGTCATCTGTCACTAGGTTATCTCCTTCATCCAGTAGGGGCCGCACACCCTCTCTGATCACCTTCTTTTTGTTAACATGCCTGTAGAAACCTTTCTTGTTATCCTTCACATCCTTTGCCAGTCACAATTCCAATTGCTGATAACTACCCGGCATTCTCGAGCTATATATTTATATCCCTCCCTGGTCATTTGTCCAAGTTTCCACTTTTTGTAAGCTTCCTTTTTGAGCTTAAGTTCACCAAGGATTTCCCCTGTAAGCCAATCCGGTCTCCTACCATGTGTGCCTCTCTTGCTACGCATCAGGATGGCTTATTTCTGTGCCTTCAATAAGGCTTCTTTAAAATACTGCCAGCTGTCCTAGACTCCTTTCCCCTTCATGTTAGCATCCCAGGGGATTCTGCCCATCAGGTCTATGAGGGTACGTCTAAACTACATGGCTCCGTCGATGGAGCCATGTAGATTAGTTTACTTGGCAAACGGAAATGAGGCATAAAGGATCTGCTGACAAAGGGTTCTGAGGTCGGCAGATCCCCATCTAGACTGCTGCACTGAGCTGACAATCAGCTGAGCAACACAGCGTGGTGGCCATTTTTATTTAAATGAAGCCGCGATTATTTAAATCGCGGCTTCATTTCCCTTTGCCGTCCTGACATGGCTGCGTTGATGGAGCCAGGTAGTTTAGACACACCTTGAGTGAGTCAAAATCTGCTTTTCTAAAGTCCAAGGTGTGTATTTTACTACTCTCTTTTCTTCCTTTGGTCAGGATCCTGAAATCTACCATCTCATGGTCTCTGCTTCCAAGGTTGTCACCCACCTCTATTTCCCCTATTAGATCCTCCCTGTTTGTGAGCAGAAGGTTAAGCTGCACACAGCCCCTGGTTGGATCCTTCAGCACTTGTACCACTTGTACCAAGAAGTTATCCCCAGCATTCTCCAAAAACTTCCTGGATTGTCTGTGTACTGCCGTATTGGTCTCCCAACAGATGTCAGGGTGATTAAAGTCCCCCATGAGAACCAGGGCCTACGATCTGGAAACTTCTCTCAGTTGTCTGAAGAAAGCCTCATCTACCTCATCCACCTGATCTGGCAGCCTGATCTGGCAGCCTGTAGCAGACACCAACCTCAACATCAGTGCTGTTGTTTGCACATCTAAACTTAACCCTTAGACTCTCAA